CATCCAGGCCACAAGCGGTTACTAAAACACCAGCACACCTACAGCAGGCCTATAGCTTACTCCGTCTGAATTTTCCTGGATATGGTTGATATTCAGCAGAAATCTGCTACTGGGAGAGAGGATTTTTGATCTCAGTTTAAAATGGGCATCCTTTGGTTCTTGTTTATGCTCAAGAATCAAGACTGTACCAACTGCAAGTCTCCAAGCACCTTTATGCTTTCGCCTGAAACAAACCAGCATAGCACAGTAGCTCACTACTAAAAAAAAGCAGGAAATATCTCACAATGAGGCCACCCACTGACTTCTGTACAGGTCCCCAGAACAGGTTAGTACCTGCTTGTGTCACTGGAACAGATGGCGGAGCGGTGGTTGGTGCTGATGTGGGGGCCTGAGGCGGGGGTGTTGATTTCACCTCATTCTCTAGTGGTGGTATTTGTATTTGTTGCTGCTGCTGCTGTGTTAAACTGTTTACAAACTCTTCGTGTTGAGTCTTCAGGTTCTGTATCTGCTGCTGAAAGGCTACCTGAACAGGTTGCACTACTGTTGCATATTCAGTGATCAAATTTGCCTGAGAAAATTAGATAAATTAAGAATGTTTTCAGAAAGTTAATGCAGTAGTTGAAGCAGCTGTCCTAGCTGCTCACTCAGAATCTCCTATGTGAGTCTCCACCCCCTCCCAAGAAATATATGAAAATGCAGGATAATCTGTTGGCAGAAGAACCTACTTACATAATGAATCTATGTGAAGATTTACAAAACGTTCTCTGCAGGTTAAAATCTGCCGTCTGTATTAACGGCTAGCTTTCAAGAACTGCTAAAATCAACAGTATTCATTATTAATGCTAAAAATGAATAGCTTCTGCTGCCACAATAATTTGTATGCTTAGTACATACCAATGTTAAGTTATAGTTTTCTTTAGTTTCTCTTTTACCAACTATTCCTTTCCATTAAAAAGGAAAACAAGCTGTAAAATACAGATTTGCATTTGTGACTACCACAATGCACACAGGGAACTTTCTGGGATTGTATCAGCAGCCAGATTATTCAACATTTGAAATGACAAGGTTATGTTTTACTTTATTTTTGTAAACCTTTGCAAAGGATTTCAACAGGGGAAAAAAAATAACATTTACACTTCAAAAAAGAAAAAATTTGTTCTCAAATATTTATATGAATAAGGAAAGCATTACTTTTCTTTTGTGGCTAACCTGGTACTGGCCAAGTCCAAGAGCTGGGCTCTGTAGCTGCTGAATTATTGATTCATCAAAGTACCCATTTTTTTCCCACAGCTGAAGAAGCTGCATAAATGCAAGAGCAAAAGGTTGTTAGAAATGATGAACGATAAAAGAAAGAAAAGAAAAAAAATCAAGGCACAGCATTTTTATGCCTCTAGCTTTGTCAAAAGGCCTAGGATTTAGTCACTTGTCTTTGGAATCACCAAAGACTCAGAACTATTCATCATGATGATAACTTTTAAATAAAGCTCAAGTACTTTTTTTTGGTTTAAAGTTCTAGCTCAAACATAAATTAAAGTACATCCTTTGACAGGCTTTATGAAGAAGAGCATACTAGAAAAATCTCAGCAGTCCTCTTCTGTCCTTGGATTTGTGAATTTGCCTAGCACTAACCTAAGAAAGCAAAACATACAGCTAAACCAAAACCAGCTACTCACTCTGGCAATTTTCTGCTGTTTATCCTCCTCCACTGCTAGAAAGCTGGTACAATATATAGGCACAACCACCTTCTGTAAAGCAGCCAGAAGATCTCGTGCTTGCTTCCGCTGGCTTCAAAAAAGGAAGGATAAGAGTTACTGCCTTTTAATATAACATTAACAGCACTGTAACATTCAATTCCTCCTAACTTGTGCTGTACTAAAAGTAGAGGATTCATACAGATACAGAGAGAATTCTCTTCTCTACTGTTGTACTGTACAGCCTTATCTGGAATAAGTATACACAAAGTAGATAAAGGCTGAATATGATTATTAAAGTACTGGCTATTTCTTTGCACCAATTGCACACACCTTAAGGCAGCTGCTAACGAACATGTGTATTTTAACAAAATAAAAAGTGACTAGTTGAACTAAGAATGTGTCTAGCAGAGAGAGACTTCACCAAGTTAATCAAAACAGCAAACTGGAAAACATCGTTTTAGTTCTTACCAGTGATGCAATACATCATTGATTAAGTAGATTAAATGTAACCGAAGCTCAAAGTGAGCTCCTTCTGCTGTTATACGATTTCGCAGGTGCCCAGCCATCAGCTCACAGTGTGCAGGAGACTTCGCATTACTAAACATCCAGTTTTTGCCAGCCTTAGAAAATGAATTTTAGAATATTTTAAGTTAGTCTGATGCGTTCACATCATATGGACTTCCTAAAACTGAAATAACTCCAAGAAGGAAAATTTTCAATAACAGCTGTCATCTCACGTACCATACAGTGAAACAATAAAGTTGCTATTTTTAACCATGCAGTTTCAAAATGCAAGTTGTACTTAATCTACACCACCATTAAGTAACAGTTCAGATTTAGATCATTTAACTCACTCGCTCCACGATCAGGCTTAATTTACCTTGCCTATCTGGGGGGTAATTTCTGTCCTATTTCTTTATAATCAGTAGATGCTTTAAACGACGTTATCCTAAACCCCAAGGCAGCATTAAAATCGCTACCCCAACACATTTCAAGTTAGGGACCGATCTCTTCTTTTTCGTTAGGGAAAGCTGACCCCCTCTACTCCCTCAGTTTCCTGGGAAGAACCTCTTCTCCAATATACGGAACTGACTTCATGGCCTGAGCAGCTGAACACAAGCAAAGTAGTCAATGCGTGGAGTCATCAACAGCCAATGGAAGAAAAAACAATTGTGACTGGAATGAAAGCCTTCCCGTTGCCTTTTGTACAGGTAAGGCCTATACGTCCTTCTTGGTGTTGCGTTTACAGCAAGTCAAAGAAGTGTTTCACTTGCAAAGACAGGAGCAGAACTTCTAAGATACGCAAGGATGTTTACTTACTGAGATTGCATCTTTTGTACACGTGTCAATTATTGGCTGCAACAAGTTGTCAAATTCATTCATATCTAACTGTGTTTCCTCTAAAACTTTCTGCATTTGTTGCTCAATTGCAAGGGCTACTGCTGATGTAACTTGTTCCTGAAAAAGAGGGAATTACATCACATTCAATATTCTTCTGAAGAACCACCAACCTGATGTGTGCCTGTGCTCTTAACCATAAGCAGTTATCTTGAAGACCAAGACTCCTTACACGCAATGTGACCATGTATAAATTTGTTTCAATTAGTTATTTTTGAGAAGGGAGAAGAGAAAGACTCTTCTCACTCTTCAGGAGAAATACTGTTCATTTCCACCTCCTAAATCCCTCCATCATGAAGCAAGTGATAACTGCAGACAGCTGCTAAGCGCATAGCACATGCCACACGTACTCCCCTTTCTCCAGGAACTCTTCAATTCGGAAGCTCTAAAAGCAAAACGCATTCTGTAAAAGAGCCAATTCAAGTACACAGTGCCATCCCACTCCCAAAAGAATTCACCTTAGAGCGCTACAAGCTGGAATGTCTCACAATTCCTAGCAAGTTGTAACATCAAATAAAGATTAGAGCAGTCACAATTTATTGCACTCTGTGCAAGCCAGGTAGGGTTTTCATGCAGTTAATAAACTGTTTTAACAAGGATCAAACTTACAAACACATCAGATGCATCTGTTCTAAGGAGATTACAGCAATTGTCACAGAACAAGGACAAGCAAAGCAACGCTCCCTCCTTCTTCTCACCAACATACAACGTCACCACCTTTAGTCAGAAGGAAGCCTTCCTACCCCCTTCACAGCCACTGGTAGCCTACAATAATCCAAGTGACTGTTCATCCTAAACCGACCTGTCTCATAGCGAGGAGATGCTGCTCCTGCTGCTGGAGGTTCCACTGACTCTGCTGGATAAGTTCCTCCACTGAAGGAGTTCCCTGAGGGGCTGGCATAGGCGCAGCCGGTGGGAGAGACGGCTGGGGCAGCGGTTGGATCTGCGCAGTAGCCTCAATATCTTGACTCTGCTTGCACAACACTGTCAGAGAAAGAAAGCTCTCAAAGTAAGCAACAAAGCGAAATCTGCCACCACCGGCCTGTACGTGAAAACAGCGCTGCTTCCAGAACAGAGCCGCAATTTCTGTTTAACACACACAAATAAAAATCAAGCGGGCGAGGGCGGATGGTGTGGAGGGAAGGAGGAAAGTCAGCGGCTCCCTGCACGTGTCGGGGAAGGACGATGCCAACGCCAGGCCCGCTCCTGGGGCGCGACTGCGGAGCAGCCCGGCCTTCCTCCCCCGAAACCCGCAAACGGGGGGGGCGTGAAGAGCCCCAGGTGAGGCTCAACCTGGAGGCGAGAGGGC